AATGAAGACGAAAATTTAAATGAATTGTATGGTCATCATTTTGCAAGAAAAGTTACAGTTGGTGGTAAATTATTTATCAAAGGATTTAGCTCATCTACCCAAGAGCAAATTGATATCGTAAAACTTTATTTATCCTGTGTTTATAATTTAGCTAAACATTATAACACATTTTCTCCACTTAATCACTTATCCGTTTTTCACCTTCTAAGAATAGAAACATTGGATGGAAAAAAACTAGATACACCTGTAAAGTTGAGCGATTGGATGAAAGATTTATACCAAAATAACAACTTTGATATAATTTCATATGATAGTCTCATTCCTATTTCTCAAAACATGAAGAATTTTCAAATGTTAACTTTGAATCTTGTCCAATAGAAAAGCAACCTGGAGTTGCTGATTTTAAAGAGAAGTTAAGTTTTGATGTGTGGACTAGAAATGTTATGGATGTTAATTTAGTAATATGGATTAAAGACCTTCCGCATTGTAAAGTTATTAATAAATCATATAAATTGGAAAAGAGCAAAAAATTAGCGATTAGTATCGTCAAAATACCCAATATAAAATCTAGCAATAAATCTTATTTGGAAATTATCAGGACAACAAAAAATGTGGAAAAAGAATTGATTATCAATAATATCTTTTCTATTAAAGATTTAAACCCTTTTCCCTTTGTTGATAGGAATATCGTGTCGGATGATTCAAGTTATAATGAATATAGTTTTCTAATCAAACTTGAGAAATATGAAATTATTATGGATAGGGATAATTTTAAACCTTCGATAGAATTTGAGCAAGTTATAAATGACGCACTTGAAAGTAAGAAACCATATAAAGCTTTACAAGGGGTATTTGAAGAATATGGTCATTTTTTTGCTCAAAAAATTACTTTAGGAAGGATTTTTAAAAAGAATATACCAAATGCTGCTACTGTTAAGATTGATTTGAAATCGCCGATAGTTAATTCTTTAAAACCATATTTAAATAATTTAAATATTCCATATCTTTTAACTAAGGAAGGAAATATTATTGAAAAAAATGAATTATTTGATTT